TTTGCTAGCATCTTATTGAATATCTTTGCATCTATATTCACTAGGGAGATTGGTCTGTGGTTCTCTTTCTTGGTTGGGTCCTTTTATGGTTTTGGTATCAGTATGATGCTTGCCTCCAGACATGAGTTAGGGAGAATTGCTTCCTCTTCAATATCATTGAATAGTTTGAGGAGTGTTGGATTATATCTTCTCTGGATTTCTTGTCAAATTCTGCTGTGAATCCATGAGGGGCTGGGCTTTTCTTTGTTGGTAGGTTTTTAATCACGCTTTCAATCTCATTAATTGATATTGTGTTGTTCAGTAATTTGATATCTTCTTGACTCAGCCTTGGTAATTCGTACATATCTAGGAATCTGTCTATTTCTTCTTAGTTTTCCATCTTATGGGAGTAAAGATTTTCAAAGTAGTTATTAATGATCTTTTGAATTTCTGTGGAATCTATAGGAATTTCATCCTTTTCATTCCTTGCATGAATCTGAGTTCTTTTCTTCCTTTTCTTGATAAGGTTTGCTAGGGGTTTATCAATTTTATTTTTTCTTTCAAAGAACCAACTCTTGGATTCATTTATTTTTTGGAGGGTTTTCTTTGTCTCAATTGCATTAATTTCTACCCTAATCTTTATACTCTCTTCCCTTCTTTGGGCTTTGGGCCTGACTTGTTCCTCTTTTTCTAAAAATTTAAGATGCAGCATTAGGTTACTTATTTGTTCTCTTTCTGTTTTCCTTATGTGTCAATTCACCACTATAAATTTCTCTCTGAGGACTGATTTCATTGCATCCCACAGATTTTGGTATGTTGTATTTATATTTTCATTTGTTTGTAGGTATTTTTTAATTTCCTCTTTAATTTCTTCTGTGAGCCATTGGTTGTTCAGGAGGTTGTTTAATTTCCAAGTGTTGGTGCAGATTTTGAAGTTCCTTTTGTCGTTAATTTATAATTTCATTGCACTGTGGTCATATAATATGCATGGGATAATTTCACTTCTTTTGCATTTTGTAAGGTATGCTCTGTGGGCTAGGATGTGGTCTATTTTAGAGAAAGACCCATGTGCAGTTGAGAAAAATGTGTATTCTGATGTTGTGGGGTGGAAGACTCTGTACACATTTACTGTGTCCATTTGTTCACAGCTTTGTTTCAGATCTGTTATTTCTTTGCTCATTTTTTGTCCAGTTGACGTATCTCTTTCTGTCAATGGTGGGTTGAGGTCCCCTGTTACAATAGTGTTATTAATTATGTGGGTTTTCATGCCTGTTAAGATTTGTCTTATATAATTTGGAGCTCTGATATTTGGTGCATATGTGTTTATGATTGTCATCTCATCCTATTGGAGTTTTTCCCTGACTAGTATGTAGTGACCTTCTTTATCTCTTTTGATTGTTGTTTGTTTGAAGTTTACATTGTCTGCAAAAGAATAGTTACACCTGCTTTTTCTGTGTTCCTGTTGCATGGAGGAGTTTTTCCATCCTTTGACTTGTAGTCTATGGATTTCCTTTTGAGTGAAATGTTTCCTGTATACAGCATATTGTTGAATTTTGTTTGTTAATCCACTCTGCCACTCTGTTTCTTTTGACTGGAGAATTGAGACCATTTACATTTATAATTATTACTGTTATGTATTGATTTATCATTGTCCTGTTATTTACTTGCATTGGTGTCCTACTTTTTCTACCTGTTTACTTGCTTGCTCTTCTTTTTTTTTTGGTTTTTCTCTGGTACCGGGAACCGAACTCAAGACCTTGCGCATGCCAGGCAGGTGCTTTTTGCCGCTGAGCTAAATCCCCAGCCCCTTCCTTGCTCTTCTTTTTGTTTCATTTCTAGTCTTTTTCTTGAAATTGCGGTCAGATTTTTCTCTGTCTAGAATATCTTTTAGTACTCTTTGTAATGCTGGCGTGGCACTCATGAAGTTCTTCAATTGTTCTCTGTCATGAAAATACTTTATTTCTCTGTTGAATTTGAGGGATAGTTTGGCAGGTTACATCAGTCTTGGTTGGAAGCTGTTCTGTCTTAGGACCTGTAATACTTGGTTCCATGCTCTTCTTGTTTGGATGGTTTGTGCTGAGAAGTCTGCCGTGATTCTGATGGGTTTTCCTTTACAGATAATCTGTTTCTTTTCTCTAACAGCTTTTAAGATTCTGTTGTTTTGCTGTGGGTCTGGGAACATGACTGTTATATGTGTGGGTGTAGTTTTATTTTGGTTGTGGGTGTGTTGAGTTCTGTATGCCTCATTTCCCTGTATATCAGTTTCTGTTTCCATACTTGGGAACTTTTCTGCTGTTATTTCTGCAAATATTCTTTTTATGTCAGTTGTGTTGCCTCCTGCTGTTTCATTGACTCCTAGAAATCGTATATTACTCTTCTTTGCCTCATCTTGTAGCTGTTGAATTGCCTTCCTGGATCCTTGATTTTATACAATCCTTTCTTTCACGGTCACTAGCTGCCATGCTGTGTTCAAAGTCTGAGATTCTGTCTTCAGCTTCATTCAAGTGGTTTCGGCAGCTTTCATTGGCAGCTTTGCTTTCCTGGAAGTCTCTTTGAGTCTGGTTCATGCGTTCTAAGTCCTTTCTATATTTTTCACTTAACACTTCTTCCATTGCCTTTGTTCTTCTATTTTCTTATGTTTCTTCTTCAGACTTTTTGAGCAGTTCCTTCATTATTATTGTCATTTCATTTTTTGCCTGAGAGATTATTTCTGATCTCATCTCTTCTATGGCCTTATTGAGTTGTTTCTTTACTTCCATTGCAATCATTTCAGCTATTTCAGGCATGTGTTTATCAAGTTCTCCTATGTGGATGTCTCTTGGAGTTATTCTGCATGTGGTGGAGTTCTGTGATTGTTTTTTAGTCCTTCCTTTTGTCATGTTTGCTTCCAGGTGCAGAAAGCTGTTTCCCTCTTCAGTGGCTGCACAGCAAAGGCCACTAGTGTCCCTAGTTTTCCTGTTAGTCAAATTTGCCCCTCAGTGACTCCTGAGAAGCACTACTTAGTCTCGGGTTTTCTGGCAGTTGTTGATTTGTATCTAGTTATCCCAGGTGTCAGGCATGGGCATTGGTGTCAGCTGATCGCCAACTGTCAGATTTCAGCATCCTCTTGCAGTTCTGGGCTCATTCACGGCCCAGACTCGGGTTACAGTGGTGTGACAACGCTGGTCCAGTGAACCTATGTCTGCAGGCATTTCAGGGTATAGGCGAAACCTAGACACAAACTTCAGGGTCGACAGTTTGTGAACTGCCTGATTCTGTGTGACCAGTCAGTTCAGGACACATACCGGAATGAGATGCAGACTGGACAGAGAGCAGTCACTGACTGCCCGTGCCTGCGACCCCCTAGGGAGTCCGTGTGCAAGTAAAGCAAGGCCTCGAACCTCGGGTGCAGCAGCTCTTGGAGCACTTGCTCATTTGGTGCAGGGCATGTGCAGGAGGGGCCACAAGTGCCCTCCAGCTAGATCAGTCCCTTGGACTTCTGAGTGAGGACCTCTCGTCTGCCGTGGGTGCCTGGAGGGCAGAGACTGTCTGTAATGGCAGCGGGGTCCTGGGTCACCCGCTTTGCCCCCAGGAAGTAGATGGGAGATACCTGGCTCTCTCCCTGGGTTTCACCTGGGAACCATGGCGTTGGATGTAAAGGACATTCCTTGTAGGAGTTTTGTGCTGGGGCAAAGGCCAATACAGTCAGCAGGGCAAACTCAAGAGCAGAGACCAAGGCCCACTGCAGTGAATCTCTGGTGAATCTTGCTTCATTTAGGGATCCAGAGGAAAGGGTACCTAAGCTGGCAGTGACTATTAGCATTTGCTACTTCCTTACTATTTCCTGAATTCAAGTCCTGCCTTCAGTTCTGTTTTTCTGTATTCCATCTCTGGTAGATTTTGTGCACAGCACAATACCATTACTCCCTCTCCCAAGTCTTTGCTTTTAGCCCTGAACCTCTTCACTGAGCATTTCCTTTCTATAGCTAGCACCTGTTGAACTTGACACTCTGGCTGACCCCCAGGACCTCTAACTTAACATTCATGCCTGGGTGGCTCAAAAAACTTCATTTTCTCCATTGCTTATCCAACTGTAATGGGTATAGCTAACTGAACTAGTTATCTTTACTGCTCTGCACCACATTTTCTTCCAAAAGAGAAAAAAATTAAAGCTTATTTTTCCATCTTTACATCTGCAAAGACTTTCTTTCCAAATGAGGCTATATTCACAAGTGTTTCCCTTCCTCCAGAGCCTTGTATGTTGTCTTAGTTACTTTTCCCAATGCTGAGACAAAATACTTGACACCCCAAATTAAAGGAGGAAAAATTTATTTAGCTCACAGTTCATTGAGGTTCATAGATGTTCACAGTTGACTAGCTCCAAAGCAGGGTGGCATGGCAGAGAGACATTGCAGAGGAGAAATGGTTCATGGCAGACAGAAGGCAGCAAATAGTGAAGAAGCAGCAACTGACCACAGCAGCCCTCTTTCTATTCCTTATATTATATCCAGGTTATACACCTAGAGAGGGCCTTCCTATTATCTACTGCAGGAACCATGCCAAGCCAATCAGTGAACTAATTTAGTAATTACATACCCTTGACTGCAACAGCATACACATAATCTCAGCATTACACACTCTAGATCCAGCTACCTCTGAAGAGTCCTATCTATGACCACATGAGGCTTTGGGCAGATGTCTAGACACAATCCATAACATTCATGCTAAGCAAATATTCTATCACTGAACCACATCTCAAGTCCTTTTAAACAATTATTCTTTTGAGACGAGGTCTCAGAAGTTGTCCAAACTGGCCTCAAGCTTGTGATTTTCCTGACTCAATCTCTCAGAGAGCTGGGGTTACATCTATGTAACACACTAAACTTGGTTTACATACACAAGTTCTAGTTGGAGAAGAATTTTGGGGGCACTGCTCATAGTATTTATGTTTCCTATACTGATTAGAATGTATGTACTCCTGTATATCACTGTGAAGCTGATGCTGTTTTTTACCTTTTTCTTTTTTTGAACCCAGGGTATTGAGCATGATAGGCAAGCACTGGACCACTGAGCTATTCTTGTAGTACTCTTTCATTTTTCATTTTTAAACTTTGTATTAAAGAATGTTTTATACGTATGTAAAGGCAGATTACTATTATGAAACCTGCAAATAATATTTTGTTTCTCTTAGAGTAAATGCAAAAGTACAAAATAGTTTCTTGCATTCTTTTTAATCCTTAAGGCTGAGTTTTTAATTATTTTAACATAATTTCTTACCATTTTCATTCCCAGATTTGTGTTTAATTGGATGCTGAGGTTCCCTGGTTTTTCTTTCACTTCTTGATAACAAACTCCCTTTTCTTCTTCTAGGTTGTGCTGTGTTACAGGTCAGCCCAATGGCTGAAGTACGTTGTTACAGTAAGGTGCTCAAAGAGGCCAGCAAATGTGACCTGGATGAATTAGCCATTTTAAGTAAGATTTGGAAATTCTTTGGATATGACTGGCTGCCTCCTCCTCCCCTTTATGCACACAGGTTGATGTGCATCACACATAATACCATGCATTCAAGGAGATTTACCCCAAGACCAGATTATGTTTCTGATATTAAAAAGTAGTTGTTCCTGTTTCAGATGTCTTGATAACCAATCTCTCACATCACTTAGGGGACTGAATGAAAAGCAGATGTTTACTGTGATGTTTTATCTGTTTGGTCTGTCAGTTACATTTTGATGACATTTCAGAGTAAATCCCATCTTTGGTGATTCTCTGTAGTCTTCTGAAGATGTCAGTAGTTAATTTACTCCTGGAAAATCTGAATATGCAGTTCAGAAGAACCTAAAACATGGAGATGCTATGTAATTGCTTCTTTCTGAGATGCGGGGAACTATTTTTGTATTCTTATTAAATGGACTATGACTGGATGAAATAGACTGAATAACCTCACTATCCATTCTTTCATTTTTCTGCAGAACTTGAAGAATTTAATGATATTATAGAAACTCATAGATGTTCCTGCAGCTCCTCTACAAGGTATCTGTTGTTCACATGCAGCTACTCATAGATCAACTAGAACACTGAGCCTCTGCTGCCTTGAGCCAGGTCAGCCAGTTCTAATGAGGGGAGTAACACAGAAATCAAGCACCCCTCTCATATTTGTAGCTTAGTGTTACCTGAAGAATGTACCTGATACAACTAACTCTTAAAGAGAAAAGCTTTTTTAGCTCACAATTTGGAAGTTCAAAGGCATGATAAGTAACTACATTAGTTCAGTTGTGGTGAGGGCAGTGGGGGTGGCACATCATGGTGCAAGTGCATATCAGAGGGTTGCTCACACTGTCAGCCAGGAAGGAGGGTCCTGCACCCCTGATGACCTAAGCACCTGCCACTAGGCCCACTTCCCAAAGATTCCACTATCTCACAGTTGGGTTGGTACCACACATATTCTAGCCATGCATCCCCAAATTTTCTTAAAGGTTTAATAGTGTATATAAGGGCTCTTTATATATTTTCACTTAGTTCCATGAATCAGCCAGGCAAGATTCATGTATGTCTGTGTATTTATTTTTAAACCCCATTATATAGACAGCTAGCAATTAAGGGGATGCTCATACAAGATATATGTTAGGTCACCATGCTATTAAATAACAGAAGGAGGGCTTCCTTGCACCCAAGTCTTTTGACTTTAAATCCATTGCTCTTTTCTCCACACCTCCAAGTCTTAGGACCCTGATAAAGAGCACATGCTGTATTACTCAAGCATGTGAAGAAACCATTTCACACAAGACACCCAGTCAGCAATTGATGCTTGGTTTCACCTAACAGCTCCCCCTGAGTTATGCAGATGATAACCTGAGGAAAACCCAGAACATATTTCTCATGCATGCAGTTTTCTACTTTTTGCAACTCTTACATTTCAGTGTTACTTATGATCCAGACTTCAGTTCTGCTGAGCGATTAGCCAGAGAGTTGTACCAAGTATTCTGGAAGTCCTGGAAGTTTTCAGTAGTCAGTTATCAGCTGGCAGGTTCCCTGAAGGCAGCTAGCTCAATAGTAAGTATTAAAATAAACTGACTTTGAATCAGAAGTTCCTAAATTCTCATTGGGCTTGGCCCATTGGCTTCAAATATGTTTCCTAGTATGTTCTCTGGGTGTTGGGGAAGACTCAAACTGAATGACAAAACTGGTACATATGAGTACTTACTGTATTAGGGATTGTGTTAGTTAGTTCACAGTTCATTCCTTTAATATATCGTATTGGTAGATGCTTTTTAAATTTTTATTTCAAAGTGTTGAGCCCAGACCTCAGCAGGGCTGGTCAGAAGCAGAGCAGAAGTCACGCGTAGGCTGCTAATTTGGTAATTAACTCTCCTTTCCTCAGCAGATGTGCTGCCCTGTGGAAACATGCAGCAATTGGATCAAGGACTTTGTGACAGAGGATGAGGGCAGGACAAGGCATTTGGGGAGTGCAGGGGAGGGAGGGTTTAATTTGTCAGGGGAACTTGGGAAATCTGATTGGAGAGCTCAGAATTTGACATCGGTTTTGAGGGGACAGCACTGCAATAGGTGAAAATGTGGGAAGATGTTCTTGGCAGAGGGCAGTGGAGGGGCCTGGCCACCTCCTGAGCAGTGACTTGGTGCAGTTGGGTATTGCCTATCTGTGTGTATCCCTGAGGGGTTAAACTGTGAAGGATGTGGGATGCTAATTTGAGGAATGACCATGGAAAGTATAATGGTTCAGAGCGAAGCCACTGAACAGTAATGGCCAAATGGAGGTGTTTCTGAGAGCCTGGCCACAGCAGAATTCCAGCTGGTGATACCTGCTGGTCTCCTGACTGAGAGGCAGTAGCTTCTGCTGCTTATGAAATGTTGCAGGTCAAAATGATCTACTCGTAGTAAGTTCAAAATCTGGAAGTGAACCAAAAATACACAGAAAGGTGATCTTATCCAGGTGCTGGAGGGATCTTGTTCTTTAGTTTAGTTGAAAGCAGTTTCAATTTCTCACAGTAAATTTTAGGAAACATATTTGAATGTTGTTTTTTATTTAAACTCTTTAAAAATGCTTATTTAAGGTATCCTTAAATCCTCTTATGTGTTTTGCAGGTTGTAAATGAAGAACATGTTCGAAAAGACTTTGAGTCCAGTATGGATGTAGTACAGGAAATTAAACTTAAGTCTAGAATCAGAGGAACTGAAGACTGGGTGCCCCCTAGATTTCAAATCATATTTGATATTCATCCACCAGTCAAGTAAGTATGGGCTGCTGCCTGGAACCCAATCCATTTAAAACAGGTGAAATGAATCATACCTGATTCTTCATGGAAATAGAGAAAAGAAAAAAATAATATGCTCAGGGGCACAGGAAAACTTATGTTATTTTATTTTATTTTTTGGTATCAGGGATCAAACTCAGGACCTTGCACTTACCAGGTAGGTGCTTGTGCCACTGAGCTATATTCCCAGCCCTGTATTTTAGAAAAAGGAAAGTTGTGTTTATTTTTCTGGCTTAGTTTTCTTGGCACCTTGTTTTTCCAGGGCTTTGGGGCTTTTGCAAATTTTGATAACTGGAGAATGCAACTGTGCATTTCTAATTACGAATATTAGATAGCAACTGAAAGTTATATAGTCTTAGAGGGGATATTTAAGCTTCTAATGTTGAAACTGAAAAATCAAATGTAATTTTAAAAGACTGGACCATTCTACTTTCAGTGCAGTTAGCTTGTAATGAAAACAAATGAATATATTTGTTCAAAAGAAAATTTAACTTTGAGGAGAGCCCCTACAGTTTAGAAATGTAACAGAATATAAACAAAAATATCTCTAGTTGCTCTAAGAAATAACTGAATTCCTAAAAAACAAAACAACTAAGATGGCATGGAGAAGGAAACAAACCTGTGCATAAGTGTGTGTACACATACAAAGTAGTAGTTCGATTACAATTTGTCCTGAGAGAGTATATGACAGATTATAGACAAATATTATAGGCAGAAAGTACTAAGTACAACTTTCCCATTTTTCTTTGTATTCAGTTTGGTAGGAAAACTCCCAAGAATTATGAAGGCACTGATGAGGGTTGTTGACTGCCTCATGGACGTGCCTTATAGAAGAAGGTCTTTCTCTGTTGCCTGTTTGTGTTGGGGGGAGCAAAAGTATGTGCGGCTGCTTGGAGAAGAGCTAGCTTTGGAGGCATTGTGAAGGGTCACTTTCCTTAGCATGGGACGCCTTTTCTCAAGAATTTCCCTAATTCCTCTCTAAGGCCCATGAGCAGAAACTTAACTTATTTTTACCTTCATCATTTTTGCTGAACTTGAACTGCAATCAAATTTTACCACTTTTCAAATCACATGGGACATTATGGCACAGTTCAATAGAAAGAAAACATTTTCATGATGTAGCTCTTAAACTAGAGATGGGTAATAACTTTGTCTCATGTAACCTTGTATTCATCTAAAACTTTTTGCATTTATTTGTGAATTTCATAAGCATATCATCTTTTGATGTCTGCATAACTATCTTCCACTGTAACGTATCTCTAGTTCTCTCTGGACAGAGGTCCATACATGGGCAGTGAGAAGCCCCTAAAGGTCCACCAATGGAATAATAACTTTTGGCGTTGACTTCTGCTTTGGGGATAGCTGAGACTTTTGAAGAGTTCTAGCTTGAAGAAAACCTAGAGACTTTAACTAGGAAACTGTATTGAACATAATGTATTTTTTCAAATGAAAAATGATAAGATTAGGGCCCTTATCCAAGAAACATACCACAGCTGCTTTTCTGATCAATGAAAAAAATGTTCCATTTGGTTGCCTCTGAAATATAATGACTGCCATTTTCTGTCCTCAGGAGAGAGCTGGGAGTGGTAGCCCAGAATTTTTTCTGTGCTGGCTGTGGAACTCTGATAGAGCCTAGTAAGTATGCATCACTGATTGCTGGCTTATCATGTGGCCATAGAGTGAGGAGTAACAAGAGTTGGCAGTGCGTCTGTGGCAGTTTCCATGTAAGGCATCCTTGGTGAGAAGTTATCTTAAGAGCTGTCTTCTCTTTCGAGCAGAGGCTGTCATGACTTATGAGACTGTGGGCCCACCCAGGAGCTAGGAGGATTAGTACCCCAGCCGTCTCCCCACTGGGCACTTTCCTCCAGCCACATGGCTGGCCTGCTGGAACCTTGAAAGCCCATTCTCTCCTGATGCGGCGATTTGCATCTGTGGTTCTCTCTCCCTGGAAGCCCTTTCCTGCACACATGCCGATGGCTGGTTCTTTTACTTTTTTCACACCTTCACTCAAACATCCCGAGGTCTTCCTGGCTACCCTGTGTAAAATGCTCACCTTGCTATACTCCTGGCCACAAATAAGCATGTGTATTTTTATACTTCTCTTCTTCTTCATTTTTTATTCTTCCTAGAATACTCTCTTATGCTGATTTATTTTATCTGTTTCCATCACTAGATTGTAAGTTCTGTGAGGATGGATATGTTGCTGCTTTTATTCATTGTTTTGTCTCCAGTGTCTACAGGACTGCTTACCTCATAGTTGGTCATTAAAAGACATTTCTGAGGCTGGGCATGATTACACATGCCACTGGCCTGTAATCCCATCATGCTGGGAGGCCAAAGCAGAAGGATGGTAAACTCAAGGCCAGTCTGGGTTACATAGTGAATTTAAGGCCATCCTGCACTATATAATGAGACTCTGTATAAGGAAGGAAAGAAGGAAGGAAGGAAGGAAGGAAGGAAGGAAGGAAGGAAGGAAGGAAGGAAGGAAGGAAGGAAGAAAAGATATATTTGTAGAATGAATGGTTTGCCAAGGAGCTGCCCAGACCTCTCTCAGCATTTGAAGAGGTGGCCTGAGGGGATCATATCTGGGCTGAGCCCTAAAATAATCAGGCTTCCCACAGCTAGCCATGTAGGTGTCCCCCTTGAGACTGGGAATTTCTTGCTCTCTTGTGAGGGGCTATCCTTCAAGAGATAAAAATAGGAAACAAAAATCTGCCTGGGCTTCCTCTACTACCCTGGATGATAGGCATACAGTTATAACTACTCTTCTTTAACAAACTCATTTTCCCACTTAGTGTGACCAGGACACATCTGTTGGTTAGCCACTATCTGATGCCTCATAAATATTGAACGCATGAGTCAGAAACTGTAGTCATGTGACTATGATTCCACCAACTTTTTCAATAAAAAGTTGGTTAGGGCATGGAGCTGTGTGCCTGCCCTGCTAATGCAGTGGTAATCTTGTACACATGGTGCTGCCTAATTCTGGATGTCTGCTTTATACTTTGTAGGGAAATCACAATCATCAGCCAAGAAAGTGAAAAAAAAAAAAACCAAAAAGGTCATATATGTAATAAAAGAGATAGACAAAGGGGCTGAGGCGTTCACAGCCAGGGGAGTTAATCTGGGCAGGGGGTGAGGGAGGACTGGGAGTGAGGGGCTTTATAAGGAAGTGATTCTGTCCAGGTGTCACGTGGGTGCTGAGTGGGGAGTTCATCATGTTCCTAGTGCCTTTGGCAGATGGAAAGAAGAATGACAGGGCAAAGCATGCTCCAAAGGTAGGCAGAGCAGATTGTAGATGATGATATAAAGTATATAAATAATTTTGGACTTTTCCTGAAAAATTTCTCTAGCTCTAAGAATTTTTTAACTTTATATTTTGAAATCATATTTGGATTTACAAATGGGTTGCAAAGATAGTACGGAGAGCTTCTGACAACTTTCCCTAGCATCAACCTCTAATATAGCCGCTGTATAATTATTAAATCTGAGAAATTAGAATTGGTTACAGTTCTAATAACTAAACTACAGACTTTTATCAGGTTTCACTCGGCTTTTCTAATGTCCTCCTAATTCTGTTTCAGAATCCAGTCTAGAATACCACATTGAATTTAGTTGTCATGTTTCTTTAATCTCTTCTAATCTCACACACTCAACATGACATTTTACCATTTATTGAAACTTCAACATATCCTAAAAACTAGGATTATAAGCAATTATCACACCAAAACATAACAATTCCCTAATATTGTCTGCTCCTAGTCCACTTTCATTTGCTATTCTCAAGATGTGATATAGGGCTAAGTTTTCCATTCAAATTCCAGCTGAATTTCATGCAGTGCAGATAGATATTAGTTGTCTTTAGTTAGCTTTATTCTAGATCTGCTGTATCCAATATGGTAGCTGCTAGTCACATGGCTACATACAATTAATTTAAATTAATTAAAATATAAAATTCAGTTCAGTTATATTAACTACATTTTAAGTTCTCAGTTATCACATGTAACTATGGCTACTTTTGGATGACACAGATAAAAAATATATCCATGCTCACAGAAGGATCTATTAGTTTTGTTTTAGAATAGTTCTCCCTTATCTTTCCCATACCATTGGTTTCAGAAGATAAGAACAGTTGTTGTTCAGAGCAGGATTTCTCAGTTTGAGTAGTGTTGACTTTGTTGCAAATTAAGAAGTGTAAAAAGCAAAAGTAATTTTTGCCCATGCTCCAAAAATAATTTACTATTGGCCTTTTGGTGGGAATCTAGACTGCGTATGTGTATATTTTTAAAAACAAAATTGAGACTGCATTCTGTCTAGCCATACGCTTTTCCTTTCACTTCTTGACTGCAAAGCATTTCATGTAGAGAGTGCTGCACTTATTTCACCAGTTGCCTTTTTATGAAATTTTGGTTGGCACCTCATTCACCCCCAGTTACAAATGTACTGTATTGAATACCTTTGTATATCGTATGTGCCTGCTAGCATTTCTGTCTGATGAAGTAGGTTCAGGAATATCTTCCTACAGGGTCACTGCTGGGGACAGGAGGGAACACCCATGTATCTACCTGCTCTGGATGTTCTAAATTTGTGGATCTGCAGTGGGTCAGAGATTCTCATTGTTTCAATATCCAGAGCTTTGACTGTCACAGAAATGGAGCATTTGTCACAACTCTGTTGATTATCTGTATTTTCTTCTTTCTTTGTACCACCTGCTTTTACCATTCATTTATTTTTTCATTTTCTTTTTCTCTAATTAATCAAGGAACTTTCTGTGTTGCTACTTCCTCATGTTGTGCACACACTGCTTAAGAAATTACAAGCACTCTTTGTATGTGTGACAGCACTGACTTCAGTTCTGAGTTGCAGTTTGTGGTTTCAGGACAGCTGGCCTGAAAAGCTCTGGTCTGCCCTGTCTTGGTGGTGGCAGGTGGAGTCTGCACTCTAATTCCAATGTCCGGATCTATGTACTATGGCCTTTTGCCACACTCAGCTCATCTTGCCCAGCTTCCAAATCTAGGAATATTTTGAAAGGGTTCTGTTTTTCCAACATCTGCATACCCTATTAAAGCTCATGCATGGCCATGGTATTAAGTCCCCAAGGCCCTGCCAGGTTGTTCCCAGTTGTCCTGAGGCGAAGGATGACTTCTCCATTGTGCAAAAAGCCATCTGAGTCTTTGACCTTTGCAGAGGTATTGGGGTGGGGTGCAGCTGGGTGGATTTTCAAATCCTCTCTGTGTGCCCCACAGAGTTTGTGAAGAGGCTCAGGTACTGTGAGTACCTGGGAAAGTATTTCTGTGACTTCTGCCACTCCTACTCGGAATCCTGCATCCCTGCGCGGATCCTGGTGATGTGGGACTTCAGGAAGTACTATGTCAGCAACTTCTCCAAACAGCTGCTCGACCACATATGGCACCAGCCCATTTTCAACTTGCTGAGCATCAGCCACAACCTCTCCACAAAAGCCAAGGAACTGGACAGGGTGAAGGTGAGGGGTGAAGGTTTCTGCAGGGAAGTGAGTTTGGCTGGAAATTAGAGTCCTGGTTCCAGGGCCTTTGCATACAGACACGTGGAGAGGCAGATGACTGTGATGTGAATGAAGCTGTTCTTTGGGGTTCCTAGCCTCATACTGAATTATATATAAATATTTTAAATATATTTTACACATGCACACTCTGTAGTTTTCTTGAAGAGGGCCCCCAAAATGATGTGTAAGCTTTAGGCTCCACAAAACCTGCATACGTCCAGGGCTCTCTGGATCCATGGAGTCAGATATGAACACCTATTGTAGAGGCTGTTTGCTCCAAAAATGTGTCTTATGTGGGGTGGCTTTTGTTTTTTAAAGAAACTACTGTAAATGCATAGCTACAGAATGGCAGAGGTACATATTTTTCATACTATGGAGGGAAAGTACAATATTTATGCTGTGTTTTGGAAACAAACTGGAACATCTTGTTCATTCTGTCCGACAGCATCGCTCTTTTCTGCACAAGGTGATGGTCCTGAGACCTGCAACTGCCCCTCCCGCCCACTCCTGCCTTCTAGCTCACCACTTTGATTTGTGCAGGGAGAAACAGCTTTTTGGTAGTGTAGTCAAAAACATTGAACTGGCTGGGCATGGTGGTGCCCACCTGTAATCCCAGCACTTGGGAGGACGGGGTGGTATTTCAAAGTGAGAGTTAATATGGAGCTGCTCAATGCCAGAGTCATTGATCACATTTAACTCTCTCTTTCTTCTCCCATTTGGTTTCTCATATTAGGACATCCAGGAGCAGCTTTTTCATATCAAGAAACTGTTGAAGACTTGCAGGTTTGCTGACAGGTATGCCTCTCAGCTGGAACAGCCTGTGCTCTCTCCTCCCTTCTGCTCCTCCTGTTTGCCTGCTGGCCCTGCCCCTCCCATTCGCAAGTCTTCTTAGCACAGTAATTGCCTGTGACAGTCTTGGGATGGTAGCCACCTCTTCAAAATTACTAAGCCTGCTAAATCACTAGTGGAGAATGTAATTTGTTAAGAAAATGGGCCAGGACAATGATAAAAAGAAAATAATTTTGATAAATCCATATAAAATAAAATTTACTATATTAATCACTTTAAATATACAATTTATCAATAGTAAGTACATTCCCACCAGGTGTAGTGGTGCACACCTGTATTCTGAGTGCTCTGGGAGGGTGAGGCAGGAGAACTGCAAGTTGAAGCACACCCTGATTGCCTTAGTAAAACCCTATCTCAAATTAAAAAAAAAAATAAATAAAAGGGGATGGGGACATATTTCAATGAGAAGGCCTTGAATTAAATTTCTGAACCACAAAAAGGTACATTCCCATCATTATGGAGTCATTACCACTGTCCAGCTGCAGAACTCTTCATCTTAAAAAAGTGAAAGAAACTCATTTATAACCTTTAAACACTGACTGTCTCTCCCCAAGTCTCTAGCAAGTGTCTTTTAATTTTATTTCTCTGAAAATTTGATTACTCTGAGTACCCATATAAGTGGGGTATTACAGAATGTGTCTTTTTCTGACTAGCTTATTTTACTTATTATGTTCCCAAGGTTCATCCATGTTGTGGCATAAGTCAGCATTTCCTAAATAATATTCCATGATGCCACCCACCCATTGTGAGTTTCTTATTCACTCAGTGAGTGACACTTGTGCGGCTTCCACTTCTTGCAAATAATGCTCTGAGCCTATAAACTGTGACCTATTGAAATCCCCTTACAGAGGGGCTGGAGGCATGTCCACCTGGGTGAGACTATGGCCTCCAGAACATAGCTGTAAAGACATATCCTAAGGATGTATTACTGATATGGGCAGAGATTTAGTTAAAATGTCGGTTTTAAATAAGTCCACCAAAAACTAGTAAACAAATTCAGCAAGATAACAGGATACAAAACCAATAGCATTTCTGTTCATCTCTAATGAACCCACAGAAAAAGAAATTAGAGAAACAGTACCATCCGCAAAGCTTCAGGAAAAATTAAATACTTAGAAATTAACCTAACCAAGGAAGTGAAAAACTGCTATAATGAAAACTATACCATAGTACTCTGGAAAAGGAGACCATAGCAAACATAAGAAAATGGAAAGATGTCTCCTGTTCCTGGATAGACAGAATCAATATTGTCAAAATGGCCATACTTGCAAAATTAATATACAGATGTAATGCAATTCCAATCAGAATACTAAGAGTGCTAGTTTTTCTCACAAAACTAGAGAAAAATCCTAATCCTAATATGAAACAGAAGAGACCCTGAATAGCAAAAGTCGTCCTCAGCAACAAGAGCAAAGCAGGAGGCATCACAACCCTGAGTTTCAAGTTATGTTACAAAGCTGTAGTGATAAAAACAGCATGGTCCTGGCACAAAACAGACATGTGGATCAGTGAAATAGAATAGAGGATACAGAAAAAACCCCAGGCACATTCAACCATCTGGTGTTTGATAAAGGAATCAAAGACATACCCTGGAGGAATGATAACCTCTAAGAAATGGTGCTGGGAAAACTGGCTATAAACTTGCAGATTGAATCTAGACTAGTATCTCACCATGTTGTAAACTGAAGTCAAAATGGATCAAAGATCTAAATAATTAAAAGAAAACTCCTAATCTGCTGGGAGATAAAATAGGTAAAACTCTTAAAGACACAGGCATAGGAAAAGATTTTCTGAACAAAACCGTAGTCCCACAAGCAATAGCATCAGTAATGAACAGATGGGGTTATATCCAGTAAAAACTTCTTTAAAGCAAAGGAAACAACTAACAGAGTGAGGGAAAAACCTGCAGAATGGGAAAAACTTTTGCAGGACATTCCTTGGGCAGAGAATGAATGTCTAGAATATATAAAGAACTCAAAGAATTAGACCCCTGAAATAACAGATCCAATCCAAAAATGGGCAACTGAAATGAACAGACATTTCACAGAAGAAAAACACATGAACAATAAATACATGAAAAAATGTTCAACATTGGTGGCCATTATAGAAATGCAAATGAAAATAACAATGAGATTCCATTTTACTCCAGAAAGAATGACTATTATCAAGAAATCAATTAATAAAAAATGCTGACAAAGCTGTGGGGAAGAAAAGAACACTTTCTAATGTTGGTAAGGATGTAAACTGGTACGATCACTATGGAGAGTCCTCAAAAAAGTAAAAATAGAAATTTCATTGGACCTAGCTATTCCCCTTCTAGGCATCTTCCTGAAAGAGTTAGAATTCATATTACAGTGATACATGCATGGCCATGTTTATAGCAGCACAACTCATAATAGTTGAATCTTGGAATTGGTGATTGTACCACTAGAAGATGAATGGATAAAGAAAATGTGTTTATACACAGTGGAGTACTATGCTGCTATCAAGAAGGATAAATTTGAGTCATTTGTAGGAAAATGGATGCACCTTGAGACCATAACATTAAACAAAATAAATTAGATACACAAACTTAGATGTTACATGGTTTCTCTCATATGAGAAAAAACAAAGAATAAATAAAGAGCAAAATAAAAGGTAGATAATAGGAAATAGGGAGATAAATATTTTACAAATAGGGATCAAGAGATGGGGGAGAGGAAAGAGAAGGAGAATGAGATGTAAAAAGAATTAAAATATGTACATGTACCAGCTCTCCATGATGAATATAATCATGTGCTGCAAACATGTACTAGTAAGAATTTTTTAAATATGAGAAGTGATATTAAAAATCTACCAGGTGTTCAGCAAAGGTAATATTAAATTAATGCCATGTGTATAGTATAAAAGAATGGGCAGTCAAAAAAGTTTTAGGCATGAATTAATTGGGAGATTTTTAAGTGGGAAAGACTAGCTTATTAAAGGAGGTTAAAATTACAGACTGAGTCTCTGCCCTGTGTGCACCCGTGGCAGACAGGAGGGCCTCACTCAGAAGCCCAAGGGACTGATCTAGCTGGGGGGCATGTGTGGCCACTCCCTGCGCACGCCCTGCACCTAGTGAGTGAGTGAGTGCTCCAAGAGCTGCTGGTCCAGTGGTTCCAGTCCATGCTTTGTTTTCACCTGGACCACCTAGGGGTTCGCAGGCATAGGCAGTCTGTGACTGCTGCCTGTCTGGTCTGCATCTTGTTCCTGTATGTGTCCTGAACTGACTGGAGACACAAAATCAGGTGGTTCACAAACTGTCGACCCTGCAGTTTATGTCTGGGTTGTGCCTGTACCCTGACATGCCTGGGGACATAGGTCCACAGGACTGGGATTGTCACACCAGTGCAACTTGAGTCTGGGCTGTGCATGTGCCCTGAACTACAAGAGGATGCTGGATCAGTCAGTCTGACATCAGCTGACACCAATGCCCACATCTGAGACCTGGGATAACTAGATGCAAATCAACAACTGCCAGAAAACCCAATACTAAGTAAGGCTTCACAGGAGTCACTGAGGGGCAAACCTGACCAACAGGAAAACTAGGGACATGAGCGGCCTTTGCTGGGCAGTCACTGAAGAGGGAAACTGAGCTTTCTGCATCCAGTAGCAAAGGTGATAAAACAAAGGACTAAAACACAATCCCAGAACTCCACCCCACTCAGAACAAGTCCAGGAGATATCGACATAGGAGAACTTGGTAAACACATGCCTGAAATAGCTGAAATGATTGCAATGGAAGTGAAGAAACAACTCCATAAGGCCATAGAAGAGATGAGATCAGAAATAATCTCTCAGGCAAAAAATGGAATGGCAATAATAATGAAGGAACTGCTCAAAAAGTCTGAAGAAGAAACATATAAGAAAATAGAAGAACAAAGTCAATGGACTGAAGCGTTCAATGAAAAATATAGAAAGGACTTAGAACGCATGAACCAGATTCAGAGAGATTTCCAGGAAAACAAAGCTTCCACTGAAAGCTCCCAAAACTGCTTAAATGATGCAGAAGACAGAATTTCAGACTTTGAAGACAGCATGGCAGCTAGCGACCATGAAAGAAAGGATCTTGTAAAATCAACAAGGATATATAGATGCAAAGATACTCAGTAAGATACTAGCAAATAGCATGCAGCAAATTATCAAGGAAGTCATACATCAGGACCAAGTCAGATTCATTCCAGGAATGCAGGGTTGGTTCAATATTCACAAATCTATAATTGTTATACGCCATATCAATGGAGCCAAAGACCAAAACCACATGATCATCTCAATACATGCAGAAAAAACTTTTGACAAGGTCCAACATGCATTTATGATAAAAACTCTACAGAAAATAGGAATAGATGGCCTTTACCTTAACCTGATCAAAGCCATCGATGACAATCCAACAGCCAACATCATTTTAAATGGACAAAAACTGAGAGCTTTTACTTTAAAATCGGGAGGAAGACAAGGGTGTCCACTGTCACCACTCCTGTTCAACGTAGTTCTGGAAACACTAGCCAGAGCAACTAGACAAGAGAGAGAAATAAAGGAATAAGGATCGGAAAGAAAGAAGTAAAACTATCACTATTAGCACATGAAATGATATTTACATGGAAGACCCGAAAAACTCCACAAGAAGACTTCTTGAATTAATCAACAAATTTAGCAGTGTAGCTGACACAACAAAGTCAGCACCCCAAAATTGATAGCATTCCTATACACATACAATAAACAGACTGACAGAGAAATTAAGGAAACCATACCATTCACAATAACACCCAAGAAATTGAAATCTTCAGGAATCAATCTAACAAAAAAAGTAAAAGATCTATTCAATGAAAACTACAGTACTTCAAAAAAAGTGATCAAAGAAGATTTCAGCAAATGGAAAAGTATTTCTTGCCCATGGATAGAAGAACCAACACTGTGAAAATGCACATACTCCCAAAAGTGCTATACAGATTCAATGCAATTCCCATTAGCATACCTCACAGATCTCGAGAGAACATGCCTTAAATTCATCTGGAACCAGAAGAGACCCAGAATAGCAAAAGCAATCCTGGGCAACAAGGATAAGTCAGATGGAATCACATTCCCTGGCCTGAAATTATATTACAAAGCTACTGTTATAAAATCAACCTGTTACTGGCTAAAAAACAGACCTGAGGATCAGTGGAACAGACTGGAACAAACAGCCACAACCAAAAACACACTCAGCCACTTGATAAAGGGGCCAATCAAACACACTGGAAGAATGATAGCCCCTTTAATAAATGGTGCTGGAAAATTTGGCATGCCATCTACCAAAGACTGAAAATAGACCCAAGTCTATCACCATGCACCAAAGTCAAGTCAAATGGTTCATAAATCTCAATATTAAAATAGAAACACTCAATCTATTGGAAGGGAAAATAGGTAAAAATGTAGAAGACCTGGGGGTATGCAGAGAGTTCATGAAGAAAAATCAAACTGCACGTGAAACACTTCAAAGAATCAACTGGAATCTCATCCTACTGAAAAATTTCTGCACATCTAAAGAAATCACCAGCAGAGTAAAAAGAAAACCCACAAACTTGGAAAAAATTTTATCTGACTGTCCCTCAGACAAAGCGCTTCTATCTAAAACATATAAAGAAGTAAAAAATAGCAGCCCCCACAAATTCAAAGACCCAATCCAAAAATGGGCAGCTCAGATGAATACACACTTCTTAGATCATGAAATACAAATGGCAAATAAATACTTGAGAAAATGTTCAACATCATTAGTCATTTGAGAAATGCAAATTAAAACAACATTGAGATCTCACCTTACCCCAGTAAGAATGGCTAGCATTAAGAAATCAACTAATAATAAATGCTGGTGAGGCTGTGGAGAAATAGGAAGCCTTCTCCATTGCTGGTGGGAATGCAGACTGGTGAAACCACTGTGGAAATCAGTTTGGAGATTCCTCAGCAAATTAGGTCTAGAGGTCCCATTCAACCCAGCCATTCCTCTTCTGGGTATTTTCCCAGAAGATTTAAAACATCATATCACAGCAATATATATGCACCTATGTTCATAGCAGCACAAGTTGTAATTGCTAAATTGTGAAAGTATCCCAAATGTCCATCCAGTGAGGATTGGTTAAGAAAATTGTGATACTTTTATACAATGGAATATTACTCAGCTACAAAGAAAAATAAACTCGAGGTCTTTATGGGTAAATGGTCCCAACTATTGACCATACTCATAAGTGAAAGAAATCAGTCCTTTATGTGGAAGCAATGCATTGTCTCACTAGTGTAAAACCTGAAAGAGTTAATTTAAACTGGGAGATATGATAGACATTGTGAAATGATAAGAAAACTCTCAAGGGTAAAGGTCACCTGAGATGTTTGAAAAGAGAAGGGAAAGAAGGAGAAATTTTGTATGTATGTATATACAGGATAGTTAACATAGTTATTCTACTGTCTTCTATTTCTTTGCTGACAGAATCTGTCAATGAGTCCTTGATTGATCAATATTGCATGTCTCTATCTATTTTCATGAGAAACTACTTTGAAGATATCAATATGTAATACAACAAGCATTGTAATTTCCTACCACTTTGTTTGTAACTCTGCATTGTCTCTACTGTTCTTTTGCTATTTTTTAAAAGGTCTGTCTGTCTATTAATATTTTCCTCCTTTTATTTTTAAAATAATAACAATAAAATAAAGAAGGTTAAGATTATTCTTATAATGGATGAGGTCATATGATTTTAAATTTTTTTTCCATTGGATCTTTGCTTCAGTGTAATATATTTGTTTTGAATTAAATTTCTTGGGAGAAATCTACATTATAGTCATTGATCCTTGAGCCCTTACCGCATACTTTCACAAAGACAGCTTAATACTGTTCAGGGTCTTAGTTTTCTTAAGAATGATGTGTACCAAAACCACACATTCTCCTTTGTACAAAAATTTCTTGAATGGCTTTTTTGCTTCAGATTTTTAAAAAATCAGTAAATTTCTGTTAAGCACAGGGGAAAGTCAAATAGATTCTTGTTGGACTGTATGTTACACACACACACACACACACACACACACACACACACACACACACATAATGCCCTGCGGTTACAGTGGAGGTGGCTTTCAGCTCAGTTAGGGGTAGACATCAAGCAAGACTTCCTGGGGGAAAAGCCTAAACCTCAAGGGTAAGTTGGACCCAGTAAGAGGGAACATGGAACCCTGATGTAGACAGAGCATGAGTGGATGTCCCAGGCTGGAGGGAGAATTAAAACCATTATGGTGTTACTTGTGCCGTGTCCAGTGTGGACCCTGACTGGCTTGGGACTGGGATGAGTGACATAGCCAATAACTGATTTAGTGAATTATGAAGACCAAGTAAGTTTGCTTGTTGGGGGCCTTCTGAGTTTCTCTGCTTCTCTCTGGCAGCGCATTAAAGGAGCTTGAGCAAGTGCCCAGACACTTGACTGATGAGCTCCACCTGTTCTCCCTGGAGGACCTCGTCAGGACCAGGAAAGGGCTGCTGGCGCCCTTGCTCAGGGATGTTCTGAAAACTTCCTTGGCACACGTGGCTGGCTGTGAGGTAAGAGTTTGCTGGGAGCAGGTGGGTCCCTGAGCTGTTCCTTGCCTCAGGGCCAGTGCCACATGCTTTGTACTTGACTCTGCTCGCTGCTCACTCACCCGAGGGCAGTGCTGTGAATTAACAAGCCAGGGTCATCCTTCTGGCAACAGGCAGAGCTGGGACATAAGCTGGGGACCTGCAGCCTCTTCATCAGGATGCAGAGTCCTGCTTGGAGCCTGCTCTGTCTTGAGTTAGCCACGTGGACCCTGATCTAATAAAACAAAAAGCTTTGTGTCTACATAAGCTGAAGGTTTCTAGTGCAGCAACCAGAAATGGACCTCCATCAATTGCAGCACAGGTTTAAAGCCAGCTGTGGTGGCATAGCTGTAGTCCCACCTACTGGGAGGCTGAGGCAAGAAGATCAGTTGAACCCAGGAGTTCAAGGCCAGAAGCCCACAAGTTGAGCACACCTGCCTTTCCTGGGCTGCACTGAATGAACAGAAATTATCTTAGGCTGCATATAAAATGTATAATGTAGTTAATGTATATAACAAAGTCTCTTTTTAAAAATATTTTTAATTAAAACACAGGCATGTCCAACCCACGACTGCAGGTTGGACATATGTCTAAGAGGCTTATCTTGGTCACTTCCCTCATTGCTGGGATAAAATATCCAACACCCACGGCTTAAAGGAGGCAAGGTTCATTTTAGCTTCCAGTTTGAGGCCATGGTCAGCTGGCTCCAAGGCAGAAATGATGTGATGGAAGTCTGCCAAAGCTGTTCACATCATGGTAGCCAGAAAACAGAGAGAAGGAGGCGCTTGAAGGGAGATGTGCCTTTCTGAGTCACACCCAGTTCCCATCTCCAACCAGGCCCTGCTTGCTAATCGGCAGTTGACTCTATTGCTCCCATGATTTAGTCACCTTTCAAAGCCCCACCTCTGAATGCATGAGCCATTTGGGGGACCTTCCAGATCTAAACCATAAGAAGGCTAAGATCACAACTCTTCAAAAATTAATGCCTATGAAATTCTATAAAAGTGGTAACTTACTTTCTCTGTCAAGAGAAGCACTACTAGTTTGTAACTTTTTCATGCTTTCTTTATGTTAGGACATACCTACAGAATAGCAGCCTTGTAGGCATATTAGAACAAAAGTTAGAAATCAATTCACAGCCTGTGGCTATGCTCACGCTCCCTGTCACGTAGCTTGCCTTGACCATCTGGCCCAGAGGTTCCTCCTTAACAATGTGTGGGTCAAACTGACTGGGTCTGGTTTGTGTTTTAAAAATATACAATGATTCCAACTTGTATCAAGAGCTTCAAGGTCATCATGTTGGGGAAGACTGGCCCAGTCCAGGACACTTTCAACTCTACCTGCTCTTCTCAGACGCGCTCCCTCCCAGAATGTGCCTGTATAAACCTGCCTCACGATATATGACGTAATTCCTGTATTCCATGTAACCAGTCATGTAAGGACCTGCTATCTGCTTTGTACTTCCCATTCACAAACCATATTTAAACTGAACTCAAACCTGACTCTGGACTGCTGATTGAACCTCTGGATTCGCCAGCCCACTAGTGTAATAAAAGTTGCCTTATCACTCCTTGGTGCAGAGTCTTCTATTTGTATTGACATTGGTTTTTCTGTTACACTTAACAGCTGTGTCAAGGAAAGGGCTTCATTTGTGAATTTTGCCGGAGTACAACTATCATCTTCCCATTTCAGACTGCAATATGTAGAAGATGTTCAGGTATTTTAATAACTTCATAACATAAGCTTAATAATAGTTTAACTTAGTGCAAAGTTAATTGGTTTTTTTATTTTAAAAATAAAAGGAGGAAAACATTAACAGACAGACAACCTTTTACAAAATAGCAAAAGAACAGTACAGACAATACAGAGTTACAAACAAAGTCGTAGGAAATTAACAGTGATTGTTGTATTACA